CTCCTTCAATAACTCCAAGGGTGTATATTATACGACGGACAAAATTCCTATGGAACAGCCAGATTTCGGTCCCTAAACATTTAACTGGTGACACGACTATCTGCATTTGTATAAACCCCACTACCTAGCTACGCACCCTCAAGCGCGATTGGCCCAGCAAAAATCAGCCGTGGGAGATAAAATAGAGTCGTGATGAGAGCAACCAGAATCAGGCCAGAGTTCTTTTTTTTGTTGCCCCCTTTTTGCTCCTGCCCCCCGTTGCTGTCGGTTTGCGGCGTCTAGAGGGTTTTGTTTTTGTTCCGCCCGTTGGCCGGGGCTGAGCTGTTCTTGCTGTCGCCTTCCCGGGATATTGCTTTCTCGAGTTTGCTGCGCTCACTGGCCGTGGCCCCTCAAAACACGGCTGGTGTACCGTCACGGTCGTGGGCTTGCCTCGGCCACGGGCACCTCCTCGCGGTCTGTGGGCGGGGGACCTTCCAGGGCCGTGTTTTCGTTTTGCTCTCGCCCCTCTGCCGGCGTGATATTTGCTTTGTTGCTGTTTCTTTTTGCACTGCACCCGCCACGGACGCTCACTCACTCACGGCGGCGGGCTTGCAAACCCGACTGCTGTATTGAATCGGGTCTAAAAACCCAACGGGTCGACAACAAAAAAACATATCACTTCCCTAGAATAGTCGCTGCATGCCTGTACCTAAAAGGTCGCGGAGGCAGTGAATCTGCGATCATGCTACAGGACTCAGCGGAACAAGCAATGCTGCTATATAATGGCCATCCGCAACTGGAACTCACTCTAGAAATTCAACTGCTGATCAACGCCCTAAACCCTGAACCCCAAACCCAACAAGCCCTACTCCTATGAACCCTAACCCCAAACCCTAAACCCATAAAGCCAAAACCTATAAAGCCTAAACCCTGTAAAGCCTAAACCCGAAACCCTGAACCCTTAATTGAATCCCCCTGAGCCCGGCACCCCTGGACCATCCAGCCCCCAAAAATCCGACATTCACCCTAAGCTCCTAGACCCTCGAGCTCTACAACCCTCTAGAACCCTTACAGGATTTTCCAGGAACCCTCGGTTTAGGGTTCAGGGTTTAGGGAAAAGGAGACCGACACCAACTACTGCCCAATACCCTAACCCCCCCTTATGCCTTGTTGGCGGCGGCGTCCAAGGCTTCGCAGCCTGAAGACAAGGCGGGGGAATTCCTTTTTAGGTCCGAAGGGATTGAAGCTCCAAGTGGCCTGGCTCGGTGGCGATGTCCGAAGCACCACGTATGCTATATCAGGAGCTATAGTGGTTTGGAGATTCCCCTAAACCCTAAACCCTATATCAGGAGCTATAGTCTGGGGGAATGGGGACTAGAGTTTTTAGCTACGAGTTCCGGGTCTCCTCAAGTGGAGAGGCTCGCAGAACGTCTTCGGAATCTGGCCAACTCACTTTCGGGTTTAGGGTTTAGGTGCTTAGGGTTTCGGGTTTGGGTCACTACTCAAGCTACTCGTCCCTGCGATGCCGGGGTGACCATGATGCCTCTGATGGCGCGCACTTTTTGTCCATCGAGGTGGGATTCGCAGCTCTTCGATAGATAAACGAAATGCCTAGCTTTTGGGATGTTGGAGCTTCATGTCGGGAATCCCGGCAAATCTTCTCAGGTCTTCTTGCATCGGGTCTATGGTCGAGAGGCTTTGGGTAGTGTTCTTTAGTATGGGGATTGGAGCTCATAACTTGCTTGCTTCGGATGATGTCTGCGCTGGCTCCGACGGTCGGGTAAAAAAATCCATCTTCCAAAATGATCGTACCTCGCACCCGACTTAGCCATGAGGGGTTGCAAGACCGTCATTGTTGCAGATGAGGACAGAAAGGCGCTAGTAGGAAAGGCAGCAATCTCGCATTATTACTCATCCTCGTCATTGCTGTCGTAGTTGCGGTAGAAGCTTCAGCAGCAAGAACACTACAACTACCACCAGCAGCAGCGATGGTAGTATCAACACAAACAGCAGTAAGACGACCAGGAGGTGGGGGACAGAAGCAAGCGCAGAACGGCAGCAGCGGCAGCATTAGTACTGGTCGTGGTGGTAGTAGTAGTAGTAGTAGTAGCAGCAGCAGAAGCAGCAGCAGCAGTAGTAGCAGCAGCAGTAGCAGTAGTAGCAGCAGTAGGAGTCGAAGGAGGAGCGCAGGAGCCGCAGCCAATGATAAGACTCAGAGATGAGATGCTGCTAAACCCTAAACACTGAACCGTAACCGTGGTTTAACTAAACTACGAAACCCTCGGGACTAGTAGCACTAAGTACTTAGGCTTCGATAGCACTCAGAGATGCTGAACCCTAAACCCCAAGCCCGAAGCCATAAAGCCGAAAATCCTCAACCCTAAACCCCTAAACCTGCGAAGTCACGGGATGCGAGGCCGCTGGTAGCACATCTATGCCGGAAGGATAGCCCTCGGAGACCCCATCATCTGCATCTATGAAACGGCAACCGTCTCCGTTCAGGGCCCGAACACATGAAATAGGCTTTGGGGGGTGGGGGAATATAGCATTATGGTAGAAGTATATCTAGGGACGATAAGGACATAATTACTAGCTATTCCCGCCCCTCTAATCTACGGAAGATGGGACAGACAGATGTGTCAGGTGATGCAAGAACCTGCCAAAAAGAAGCCCTGGTCCCTTAACCCCCACAATATTAGGAGCCATATACAGAACCCGAATACAGCCTCAAGGTTTCATAATCAGGTTCCTGTATGAAAACCTGTCTTACTGCGAGACTCGGAACTCCCAAACCATCCTACAAAACGCACAGCGTCACACACCCAGACACAAAACGGAGCTTCTGAAATAGGGGCCATGATGCGTGAAATGGGGTTTTGGGGCCATGCTGCACTGTTTCACCATATAGAGTATTATGAATTCAAACCCCTACATTACGCTCACAGGCTCCTTAGTAGTTCTTTTATGGGGTTGGTATTTAGGATCCGATAAAGTAATCCCAAAAAGGAACTACTACGGAGCCTATGGGTACGCTGCAGGGTGTAGGGGTCTTAGGTTTAGAGCTTGCGGCCTTTCACGTCTGCGCTGCACGACCGGGTTAAGGGTTCAAGGCTTCGGGTCGAATGCTGGGGCCCTGATCAATTGGGATAGGAGTTCTTGTGTATGCTACACTGGTATTACGGAACCATCAGAAGATTGCATCAATTCTTCAGGGCTCTGTATTCCGTAGCCTTACACCCTAATTTTCCAGGCACTACCCCCGATGTCCCTGCTGAAACTCATGTTGCAGGGGTTTGGGCTTTAGAGCCTAGGCCCCCCACACCCTAAACCTTATCTACCCTAAACCCCTAAACCAGAAACCCCTAAACCCCTAAAACCCTAAAACCCCTTAACCCCTAAAGCCCTAAAACCCCAAAACCCCTAGACCCTAAAACCCCTAAACCCTAAAAACCCCTAAACCCCTAAACCCCTACACGTACCACTGCACCCTTAAACCCTGAACCACTAAACCTCGAAACCCTTAAACCCTAAAACCCAAAACCCCCTAAACCCCTAAAACCCTACACCCCTAAACCCCTAAACCCCCAAGGGCCGAAACCCTAAACCCCTAAACCCTTCAACCCCTAAACCCTAAACCACTCAACCCTACATCCCTCAAGCTTAAAGCCTAGTCTTTAAATGCATGGAACCATATACAATATCAGCCGATTTTTTTTGTTGTCTGTGTGCCTGGAGGCCATGGCCTCGAGCTAAATTTTTTTAGTTTGTTCAACAACAGCTTATGTTTTTTACCACAATTTATGGTTGAAATTTCAACTGGTTGAAAAACCTACTCTAAAAGGAAAACAAAAGGAAATAGCAATTTTCAACCAGTTGAAATTTCAACCATTTTTCAACCCCACCCCAAAACTCTATTATTTAAAGCGCGGATTTAAACCCCTAGACCCTGAACCCATTTCGTGAAGCCTACATCCCCAAACCTCTAAACCCCTAAACCCTTAAACCCCTCAAAACTAAAAACCCTAAAACCCTAAACCCTAAAACCCTAAACTCCTAAACACCTACACCCTAAACCCCTAAACCCCAAAACCCGCTACACCCCTAAACCCCTAAACCCCTACACGTGCCACTGCACCCTTGAACCCTAAACCTCGAAACCCCTAAACCTTAAAACCCCTACACCCTAAAACCCCTAAACCCTAAAACCCCTAAACCTAAAACCCCAAACCCGAAACCCCTAAACCCCTAAACCACTCCACCCTAAAACCCCTAAACCCTAAAACCCTAAAACCCCTAAACCCTAAAACCCCTAAATCCTAATACCCTTAAACCTTAAAACTCATAAACCCTAAAACCGCCAAACCCAAAAACAACAAACCCTAAACCCCTAAACCTCTAAATCCCTAAACCTCTGAACCCTTAAAACCTAAAACCCTAAAACCCTAAACCCCTAAAGCCCTAAACCCTAAACCCCTAAAGCCCTAAACCCTAAACCCCTAAAGCCCTAAACCCTAAACCCCTAAAGACCTTAACCCTAAACCTGCTGACGTTCAGACGGCAGGCTAGCGAAAGTTGTCACCAGCAGAATCCATTGAAAAGCACGGACCTACCGGTTCACTCCTTTTGCATCTTGAGCCATGCCATTCGCATGATCAGTCCGGCACTATACACCACAAGGTCTTGGCACACACATCCTGCCACAACTGATGCAGACCGTCTCATCTACACTCCTCCTCCCCTGTTAGAGCCTTCGCGCAGGGGCAAGCTCGAATAGAGGACGGTCTCGATCACAGTATTGGCAGATCTGATAGGGCCTTGATGGATTAACAGCATTCCTCTGACCATGGCAATATTGTGACAAATGTACGCGATCTCCATGTGAGGTCATATAACAGGGCCCTTCAAATCCTCGAAGTCTTTCAACCCCAATCATTCCCCCATCTTCAGTCTGTACCCCACGTTAACGGGACACAAACTTCACCTCAACATTCGGTCTCTCGCTGTACTCTGTAGCTCTTACGTTAGGCGAAGACCTCATTGAGGTAGTTGCCACGGTCCTTTGCTGCTCCTCCCTCGTAGGCGTAGTTGTAGGTGTTCGCTGCCTCTCCTGCGTCCTGCTTGGTGTGGATCGTCGCCCAGCCGAGCTCGCTGCTCCGCCTGATAAGGGGCTTCCAGGTGTCATGTGCCGAAGGATCTCCTCCTGAACCGCGGTCCGGGCCCGGCTCCTGAGTCGTTCCAGCTTTTTCTTCTTTCGTTGACACCCCATCCACCAACCACGAACTGAAGTCATCATTCTCTTCAGTCCCTCCCATAACGCTATCGCAGCCACCACGCATAGAATAACCACGAAGTAAAACTCCATTGAACCATCCAGAGGTAAGTCTTCCTTGGTACCCTCCGCTCCTGATGAGAAGCAAGCACAGCACAACGAAAAGCAGCATCCTTCCTGTACTGGATGCCCTCAACATCCTCAAGGCTGTACTTCCCACCTCCAGACTGTAAGGCAAAATGCCCCATAAGCTCATTAGCTCTTTGAACTTCGGCAAGTCGAATCCTTTGGTTCCTATGTCCGCCTTCTGCAGTGAGCCCGGCACGTGGGTGATCACTAAGCGCTGCGCCGAAACCTCTTGCCGTAAAAACCTTGCCCTCACCCGAAGGTGCCGGGTCTTCCACGACCCCGGTGCCTGTGAGGCCAGTCCTTGCGCAGCGGCATTATCAATCCTCAAATGCATCACAGGATAAACCGCAACCTCCGACATCATGGCTCCAACGCCGAGCCCCAGTTGGACGGCAGCAACTCCCTCGTACAACTCCGCCTCCGCGACCGATAGTGTTATCACTGGTTGTTTCGAGGCGCGCCAGGCCACAAGCATCCCGCCTATTTGTGCCATGACACGTCCAAACGAACGGTCGCCGCCTGGTGCAAAACTGGCGTCGCTGTACACGACCAGAAGCGGGTCGTCCCTGCTCGGCTTGTACATAATTCCGTAGTCCGCCGTCTTCGCAAGGTACTGGATGACCCTTTTGCTGATTTCCAGTGTACGTAGAGGCTTTTTTAGAGCCTTTCCAGCCATACAAGCCACCGAATGTGCCAGCTCTGGCCGACTCCTTGTAGACAGCCACAAAGCCTCTCCTGTAGCCTTTTGTGCCATACGTATTGTAGCCTCTTCCGGTGCACCGTCTTCATCTCCTGACTCTTCATCTTGAAGCCATTCTCGGCTGCATGGAACTGTGAGAGGATCACCCGCACGCTCTTGAACACCATGTTGACGTAGTAGATCTCGAACGTATCCCGACTGAGAGACATATGAATACCATTATCTTGTACCTTGAGTGCCACCCCCAAAAAACCGTAATGGTCCATCCACCAACATCTCCAGCGCGGAACACTTCCACTCAGCTGTAAGCCACCGGTATATTGTCTTGATAATGTCTGGCTGCGATAATACCAAGATGTCGTCCACATAGATCAGCATCAATCCTTCCGGTTCCTGTTCTTGGCCCTCGTAACATATCTTCCAAAGGTTCTCATCCGTGTCCAGGCTCAGAAGAATCAACATCTTTCCATCATACGGAATACGAGCTGCTTGTAGACAATCATTACGGAACAAGCTCCACAAACGAGGAGCTTCCCGTAGTCCATACAGCACCCTCTCAATCTTCCACGTCTCTCCTGGAGCTGCAGCTCCAGCCAAAACCACCACTGCTGGAGCTGAAACACCATAAAGAAGTTCTCCTGGCATAGGCGCCAATGTAAAAGCATTGGATATGTCGGTGCACCCTGCCGTCCATGTTCTCAGCACTGCATAGGCCACACTTATCCTCAGCGTATCGGCCGAGGTCCCGCTTGCGTAGACATTTTCCGTGCCATGTGGAAGGAAATTACCACATACCACCACTCTGCATTTTTTCTCCGAAACCAAGCATTGCCACCCTTGCTCGTAGTCACCTCACTTGGAGGCTTTGCAGTGAATACGGCCTTGCCAGGTAACACCTTCAAGCCTTGCTTCTTGAGCTCGCGAGTTTGCTCCGGTGATAATCTCCGAATCGTTCCACTGCTGATAAGCGCATCCACTTCTTTGTGTATAGCCTCGGTCCACAAAGCAATATGGCCACGAACCTCCTGAAGGGAAACTTTGTGAACAACTTCTAGAGGTGCTTGCAATGACTGAAGTAATCGCTCCACTTCAAAGTCCTGAGCCTCATTCGGTGATATTTTCATCAACCTGACCAGACGTTCCCGATCTATTTCCTCAAGATCCCGTTCACATACCTCCCGAGCATACTCCAAGTGTTGTAGATAGGATCCTTGAGCTTCCAACTCCGGGCCCTCCACTTCCTGCTGTAGAACACACCTCAACGTGCGTGCCCGGCACTCTAGCTCCTCCTCATCCGAGTCCCCAATATCTGCACCACATTCCCAATCTTCATCATATTCCGGCAGGTACTCCTCCAGGAACTTGTCCACACCCGTGCCTGCTAAGGGAAAACCTCGTTCTCTTAGAGCAGATTGATCACCAGGAAGTAGCTTTTCAACACCCAATGGAGTAAACCCAACCAATATCCACCTTTCCACTTCGGGCTTCAAGTACGCATGCTCTCCTTTTGGATCGAACGCTATAGCCTTTTGGTTGATGTTGTACAACGTCCCAGCTAAAACAACTCCGTCCGGCAACTCTTGTTGTAGTTCACGTGCATCGCTTCCCCCTTTGCATTGACGAACATAGTCCTTGCCAGCCAGCCACAAACCACCAGACTGTGACCCACCAATTTCAACAGCGTAGTTCAACGACCCAGGTCGATTCCTCTGGTCCTTATGCGGGGGCATGGTTGTAGCCTTGAAAACTCCCAACGTAGTCCAGGACCCTTCTTCACCAAGATCCACAGAAGTCTTCTCCTTGAGCACTTGATTGAGATACTTCGAAAGCCACATCCTTCTCTTTGCCTCAGCTGAGACTCCCCTCACACCTCCGTGAACATACGCACCCAGAATCATCGAAGCTGTGTGTTGGCCACGTACACGTACTCGGGTCTTTCCACTAATACATAGCTCCTGCAAAACTTCCCCACATGACTGCACATCAAACTTGCCTTGGTCATAGTACTGCTTGGCCTAGCGCTCTTGCCTTTCCAACAGAGACATAACTGCCCATTCTTCTGGAGGTAGTACATATTGTTCGCCGTCTAGCGTAGTCTCCTCCCCCTTTCTGACAGCCCTAAGCTCGGGCGCGGCTTGCTTCCCCCTTAGGCGATGATTGGCCTCCGGGAGATCAATAAGAGCCTGTTCCTCCTCCTGATCTCCTCGTCCTTCACCTTGTACTACCGTATCATCATCAGAAGGTTCACGCAGTAGCCGTCGTGGATCTACAACACCCGAACGTAAGTTGAGGGTCTCCGTCAAGATTCCCGTAGGTCTCAATACAATAGCGCCGCCCTTGATAGTATCCGACAGACCAAGATAAACTCCTTGCTCCCGTCTGTCCGTGAGGTCGTACTTCTTGTTGTTGCCAAAAACTTTCCTTCTTATCATCACGGATGTCCCAAATGGTAGTAGAGGAGGTTTGGATATCCCAAGCTTGTAGTAGATCTGGCGATTCGCAGCATGCTGCATGGCCAAAGTCCAATACTTCACCGCAACATTCGCTTCGGCCAACAGCACCTTTGCCTTGGTCTTGAACCATCTCACCCCACGCTCAGCTGCTCCATTTGTTTGTGGCACTAAGCTTTCTGAACGGGTGTGGTAAATGTCCCGCTCAAGCAACCATTTTCTGAGCCCCTTTGAAGCAAACTCGGAGCCTCTGTCTAAGTGCAAACGGGCCACCGGAAATCCCAGCAGCTTCAGTCTCAATACAGCCTCTTGAATGGCTAACATAATGTCGCCACTGCGCTTGTTTCGGATCGGATAAACCATGTAGATCGTCTCCATCTCAACCGGCTTTGTAAGATCACCGATCAGTGCCTCCCAGGACTTCTCATCCTTGTCCAAAACCTCCTCCTCTTCGGTCACCTCCGCTTGCGACACCTTGAATGTAGAAGTTCCCGTCCACTTCTTTTCCAAGGCCCGAGCCCCGGACTTGTAACCATGCCAATCTGACGTCTCCATATCCACACCACCACCAACAAACTTCACCTCCGTGACTCCAGAAGGTTCCAGCTTTATCGGTGGCACTGGACATCCATTGGCCATGGTAGGCCTGAATAGCTGTAGCCGTGGAATGACATGATGTCGCACCAACACTCCTTCAACCTCCCGAAACTCCCACCAATCTTCATTCGGCCTTCCGATCCTCTCTGAGGTTGTAGTGCTAATCGTAGGCACCTCAGGGAGCTCAGGCAAAGGTCCATGCTCACATTCCCAATGCTCCACTGCCTCATCTAGTGGAACACCCGGCTCTTCATCTGGGCTGTACTCACCGAGGTCCTCCTCAACGTCGTGCTCCGGCTCCTTCTTCGAAGCCGCCGCAGAGACCTTGGCATCAAGGTTCCAGCCATCCGACTCATCATCCTCAACTGGAACATCCTGTGGACCCATCTTCATCTTTGGAAACTGATAGGTAAACACCACTGCATACTTTTCACCCTTTGGCCCCGGCACCCTTACCGGTCCCAAGGTATCCGCGCTCATCACATAGCAATCCTTGTGCAGACAACGCCGATGAGGTCGTCCCGTAGAGTTGTGTATGCACTGTAAACAGTCCGCTCGATGTGGTAGGTGGTCGTTAGCCAGATGTCTTTCCCATCCCCTACGGTCCACAGCTCGTAACGTACGGACCATTCTTGAATACCATCCCGGCCTTTGCTTCCACCTCCGCATTCCTTGGGCCAACGTCCTCACCATCATAGGCGCCCACAACGACCACGTAGTGCCTGTGTTGGGCCATTCGGTTCGTAGGTCTTTGCCTCCCCGAAGTTCTGAAACATCCATATTTGTAGCCAAAGATGTAGGTCTCCTCAAAGGGTGCCCCAGGGCTCCTTGTTCAAAGTGGTGTACATCCATCATGTTGTGCGACACCCACTGCCGGAACCACTTATGTAGCCACACTGTAGAGCTCTCATCTTCCTCTGCTTGCGACGACGCCCATATACTCATGGCCACACCATCCTCTGGAACATCGGCAGCCTCGCACATCACCTTGCGCCCCATTTTCGCCACCTCATTGACCACAATCACCCTCAGGGCATGCTCGAACGAGTTGTTTCTTGGAACCCCAGCGAAGATTCCTGCGATCCTTCCCGTAGCGGCGCCCCACAACATAAGTTTCATCACGCCATTGCCCGCCCTGAGCATATTCAGCTGACTGATTCTGAGGGTATCAACATCAAGCACCTTTGTCCCATTATTCTCAAACATCTTGAACATCTTGTCAACTGGGCGTCGCCTTCCACTGAAGAACATGACGATCCAGTCCTTATGCATCATGCGCTTTCTCATTCTTCTGTTGAAACCCAACTCCAACATCAAGTCCCAGGCCTCCTTGTCCGTGCGCGGGAGATCCGTGACGGTCTTCACCAAGTCCTCATTCATCACGTCCGTAGCCCAGGGCATCGAGGAAATTGCACAATAGCCATCCTCGAACTTGCCATTCTCCACGTACTTCTTGAGGCTTCTCTCCCACTGTGGATCTTGGTGAACCTTCATGGCCTCATCATTGCCTCCTTGGACTCTTCAACGGCCCGTTCTAGCTGCGCAACCTTTTCCTGCTCGATTTTGGCGATCAACTCAAGGGCCACGGCTTCGTTCACTTCAGGGCATCCTGACGTCATTTTCAATGCTTCTTCACGACCATCCGGAGCTCGAAGTACACACTTCTTCTTATTCCAGATTAACTCATACCCCAACAAGCTGATGAGGTTTCCCACTGGAACAATCGTCTGTGGCTTGCGACCTGGCTTCAAAGGCTCGGTGAGGAGGGTTCCAGCAAGGTTCTGTCTCATAGTAGTGACCCCATCCCCCGCTATCACCACGTCCACCTCCGGGGCTTGGCTCCATTCTTCAGGCTGGGCTTCGCGTAGAGGGTGCATTGCACCCGAATCCATGAGTGCCATGCGATTTTCCATCCGTCTCACCGCCTTCTTCAGCATCTTCATAGACGGAGGTGCTGCACCACTTCCTTGCTTCTCTGCCATCATCTTTAATAGCTGCGTCGCATTCTTCAGGAAGTCGTCCATCTCGCCCGGCATCGCCTTCTCGGACCCTTGCTGCGTAGAGGTAGAGGTCGGCTCGTTTAGCGTAGTCGAAGCTGACGTGTTCTGTGATGAAGCCGTCGACGGGCCCCCACCAGATGCTGTCCCATCTTCCCTTTCGTCAGCTGCTCGAGGTCCCGTAGGCTGCGCGTTCTTTACCTTGGGCTGTGGAGCTGATTTTCCTTCACCACCCTTACGTGGGGCTTCGTTGTCCTTCAAAGGGCAGTTCCGCTTCATATGTCCTCGCGCACTGCAACCCTTGCATCGGTCGTGCTTCTCCTCCTTGGGGATGTTCGCCCAGTCGTGGACAAACTTGCAGTTCGCCCTTTGACATCCACTTTCCTGCGCGTAGAACTTGCAGGGCTTGCTTGTAGTAGATGAGGTAGGCGAGCTTCCTCCCTTTGGAGTAGTAGTAGCCGATACACTGGCTTCACTCGTAGCAATTGCAGCCTTTACCACAGGACCGCTTCCACCTGCACCTTTGCCTCGGCCACGGTACGCTAGCTGTTCGCATTCTGCAAGAAGATGCCCATGAAACTTAACCACAGCTGCCTTCGTTGGGGTAGCGTCCGGGTCCAAGGAATACCGCATCATATTTGTGCGAAAGGCCATCTCGGCGTTGCGTTCCAGAAGCTGCTTGGTGGCAGAGTCTAAACCCTTCAACAATATTGAAGCGTCCGGGGGTTGAAGTCCAAGATCATCTGCCCTCTTAAGCCACCGCGACCATCTTCGTAGAACCTCCACAAGCTCCATTGCTGAACCACCACCACTCCCCGGAGACTCCAGGGCCTTGAGTACTTGCTGTTGCTCTATCGAACTCCCAGGTCTGTAAATGGTTAATATTCTTGCCAATATCGACAGCGTGGTACTCAACCTGTTTGCAAGCAACTCTGACTTGATTGTTTCTGGAACACTTTGTAAAAGCATTGTCGCTGCACGCTTGTCAACTCTGCTCCATATTGGATCTTTAAGTACTGGTCCAGCAAAGTCCTCTGCACGTAGCTGTACCTTCTTTACGGCCGTGGAGGAGAGGAACGTCTTGTAGTACTCCTCAAGGGCCTGCATAACGCTGCGACCACCAACCACTGGAGCCGTCTGTAAGATCTCCCATGGGAGCGGCAAGTCCACGTAACCAATCACCTACGTTGATGGCAGCATACACAACAGCTTCAGGAAGTTTCGGCAGCTCGCTCCCCGATACTCCGGGGCGTATCGCCTCGGGGCGGTTGGCCTGCTGGCCAACCTGAAATGCCATCGCCTCTTGTAGTTGCGACATCCCTCTCAGCAACGCCTCCATCGGCGATGCCCTGGTCTCCTTTTGTCGGTATCTTCAAAGGCTCTGTAGGCTGTGCTGTCCCTGCGCCCATGCCCAAAACATTCCACCCAAGGGGACCAGAGGTACTTGATGCATGCTATACAATATTGGGACCAGAGGTACTTGATGCATGCTGAATATTATAATAAGGACCCCCATGACGGCTGTGTCCCGAAAGTCCTGGTGGATTGCTGCTTGGTACTTGGCCACCACCAAAAAACTCATCACCATCGACAAACCCCACCCGTCGCTTAGGCTCACCCACATCTGTAAGCCCCGATGGGTTGCTTCCCTGTACATAGCTGCTCTTGTGTCGCAGGCCCTCAACCTCTTTTCGCAAGACCTCCTTCATAGAAGCCCCAACTGAAGTTGCCGACCCATAACTTCCCGCAATCTTTCCAGCCTCATTCCTGTGCCCAGTAGGTCCTGTAGAAATTCCCGTTGCATCTCCACGCAGCCGACCTGCTTGCTCAGGCCACTGAACGTCGTGATCTTCGCGTTCTCCAGCGGGACCCCCATGTTCACGGTTGTGTCCAGAAAGTCCTGGTGGCGCATTGCTGGTTGGTACTTGGCCCACCCCTGTCATCATGCTTGGCGAAAACTGAAACCCACCACGGACATCCGACATTGCATTTCTCCCACGCTCCGCCGCATTGACATCACCTGCACCCAGCATCCTCGAAGTTCTCAAAAGTTCCAATTCCTGCTTCAGGCGTAGGTTCTCGTCTGCCAGCTCGCGATGTCCCGACATAGCCAGTTCCACTTGCCTCCGAACCTCGTTCTCCAGCTGCTCCTTAGAGTACGATCCAGAGCCCTCAGAACCAGCACCCGTTGTTGACGCCACTGCTCCATACAGCTGCGGAGCTTGCCCTTCCAGATCCCTGAAGCGCCTCAGCTGCCGCCCAGAAAAGAGGGGCTCCTCTTCCCTGTCAGCTCTGTTACGCCCAGGCGACCAAACAGACTCCTCCACCGTCGCTGTATGCTCTCCGCTGGGTCTTGTGTGCGATGTTGTTCGTCTCTGCACATACTCGCCCAGTCTACTGAACCACCGCATCGCCGCTGCACCTTGTTGTGCCAACATTCCTGCTGTGTTCATCGTCTCACCAGATCCTTGTGTTGACATAGGAGAGGGGAAGGGAGACGGTACCCATAAGCCTGTAGCTGCAGTTGCCCTCATAGGCGTCGCCATTGTACCATCAACAGCTGTACTTGGCAATAAGGGTCTATCCACCTCTGCTATCGCTGGTGCCGGCGTGCTCTCACGAATTGAGTCGCTAGCTCTTACGCTCCGTCCTTCGTCATTGGACGCTGCAGTAACTGCACCTGTGTCCTGAGGTAACGGTACAGTGCCATCCGTTCCAGTGTCCAGCGCCCTCGCACATGCAGAATCGTCACTTCCAGACTGAACTCTGTTCTGCGCAGCTGGAACACCATTTGGCAAAGCCGTAGTGGTCCCACGATCACCTGCAGGAACGCCCCTTGGGCTCATAACCTGCTGACGTTCAGACGGCAGGATAGCGAAAGAATCATAAATGTTCGGGTTGTCACCAGCAGAATCCATTGAAAAGCACGGACCTACCGGTTCACTCCTTTTGCATCTTGAGCCATGCCATTCGCATGATCAGTCCGGCACTATACACCACAAGGTCTTGGCACACACATCCTGCCACAACTGATGCAGACCGTCTCATCTACAAAACCCTAAACCCCTCAACCCTAAAACCCAATCCCCCTAAACCCTAAAAACCCTAAACCCTAAATAAAGCCTGATCTTCCCGGCCTCAACATCCATGATCAGGAGGTCCACCGAGCCTCCAGTAAAACAATGCAAACACAACAACACACGCACAAGGTCAGCACAGCTACAGACTGCACACCACTCTGAGGCCGAGACCAATCTTCAGGAGTGCCAAGAAACTCCTGCAAATCAAGCATGGATGATGATTCCGTGCAAACAACAACACCACATGCACAGCAAAACAGCACGAACACCAACATTTTTTTCTGCACGATCGCGCTGATCATCATCGCCCTGGAAGATGCATGCTGCACAGGGGGTGAAACACATCACTCCTCCATATCATCTCTCTTCCTCTTCTTATCCCCCTCTCCATCACCCTTACCATCCTCCTCCATATCATCCTTCTTCTTCTGCTCCTCCTCCGGGCCATCCTCCAGATCATGCGGCATCTCCGTGATGATCGGCCCCACACCGCTGCCCGCCGGGGCACCACGGCCACCACCGCCCATGAGGGATGACAGCAGCGGCATCAGGCCAGCAATGGCATCTGCAGGGGCAAAAAAAAACTGGAGTTCCAAAAAAACTCCAGTGAAAAATGAATAACTTATAACTACATGTATAACTGAAAAAAAAACTTGATGCCCCTGCCTGAGCTTCCCGCCGCAGAGGAGCCCGCAAAGATGTTGATATTGATAGCAGGAGGCTGCACCAGCTGGTAAGTGGACAGCTGCATGGGCCGGGCACGGAAAGCCGCCGGGATTTGCCCCTCCAACCTCTTATTCAGGGGCTTCGGAAGCAAGGGCTTCGGCACCGATGGCGCCGGCTCGGGCTTCTTCTTCAACTTCGAGGGCATCTCCTTAGCATGCATGGAGTCCCAAAATAGAACTCCAGAACAAAAAATGCAAGCTGAGATTCTGCACGGATGGTGCCCGGCTTCACATAGCCCCGCTCGATACCTCGCTGCCTTCGCTTCCTTCCCTTGTTTTTTTCTTGCCATCCTTCTTCTCCTTCTTCTTCTCCTTCTTAGCCTTCTTGGCCTCCTCGGCCTCTTTGGCATCCTGGGCCTCCTTGGCCTCCTGGGCNNTTCTTGCCATCCTTTTTGTCCTTCTTCTTCTCCTTCTTCGCCTCCTTCTTGGCCGCCTTGGCCTCTTTGGCCTCCTGGGCCCCTTTGGCATCCTGGGTTTCCTTTTCGGCTTCCCAAGCCTGCCAATCATCCCAGCTTCTTTTCGCTGCCATCATCTTCTCGAAGCCCTCCGG